GTTGCTTAACAATTTTGAACCAACTTGACACTTTTTAAATGTTTGGGCATTGTAGTGACACATTTCAAAGTTTGGATACTAACTTGACACTACCCCCAAAGTTCAGAGTACTAAAGTAGAATTTTTCCTTTGTTTTATTTTTTAGGGAAAACCTATGATGCAAGAAAGAACCTAAAGTTGTTGGGCCCAATCATGATATACACACCACAGGGACTATTGTCTTGTAATCATTAAGCCAAAACAATCTAGATCTCCTACTCACAAGAATCCTATCCATACCTACCCACAAGATACTACAGCTATACATTGGGAACATATCCCCATGAATGGTGACATGTGTAGTTGTAGCGTCTTGTGGGTGGATGTAGATAGGGTTCTTGTGGGTAGGAGGTCCGAACACAATGCAAAGGCTCACACATGCTAGTGAAAAAGGGAAAAAATTGACTGTCTAAACTCGACATCTTTGGCAGCTTAGGCTCGAATGTGGGTAGCCAAAGTTTTCTCATCGGGAGACTCCAAAATCAACAAATCCGATGGAGAAGGCGTCAATGAAGATGGATACCCCATCCCCCAAACCCAGGACCCCCTAACCCTGGTGCAAGCAGGACTCAACCTCAAGATCCACTACAACCAACGGAGACCTTACCAACTAATCAATTGGCACCTTGCGGATTAGGAACTGCTTTCTCTAGTAATGTAGAAACAAAATTAAGAACCATACTAGAACTCATTTCAGCATTTGCAGATCTCATCAACCTCTTTTAGTTGTGTTGTTTTACATGTGAAGGTCCACACATGCAACTATGCACGTCGATACTCAGTATTCCTTTTTGCGACAATGGGCTAGACCAAGGTTTAAAGCATGGTTTTCAAAACCAGACCGGAAAAACTGGGAACTGGTCAGGTGGCTGGTTCCATCTTACCCGAAAACAATTTATTTTTCCAAAAACGTTGATTTGGTCAGCAAACTACTGACGCGGGCATTCGAACCGTTCAGCGGTTTTAGCTGTTTTTTTTTTTTTTTTGTCAGAATGAGCTGTCTGTTCGGTTCAAACAGTCAAACGGTTTGACCTAGGAATCAGACCCTTGACTGGTTCATTGCCCGGTTCGATTTTAAAAGCCTTGGTTTAAAGTATTGAATTATTGATTCACCTGATATGCACAAACATTCATAATGTTGTTTTGGGTGAATCAATTTTTCTCTCTATTTTTTTTTTATTTTTTCACTCATATTTTCAAGGGGGAGCATTTTAATGCTATTTGACATTTTAAAAAAATAAATTTCTGAAAAAATCCTTTAAAATAGGCATATCTTAAGGTCCGTTTGATTTACAGTCAAAATCGGAATCGGAATCAAAATCCATTAAAATTAGAATTAAAATATTCTATCCCATAATCTATTTAGTTAAGACAGGAATGAGAATGGAAATTGAAATCAGCCTGAATGAGATTTTATTACCAAGGGAGGGAGAGGGAATAGACAACATTCTGCCAAAAATGGGAATAGACTCCAATTCTGCCCAATCAAACAATTGGAATCAGAATGGCCTATTCCGATTCAAATCCCTATTCCCGGAAAAGTAAATAGGCCCTTAGATATGATACAATAAGTCCGATAACTTGGGTTAGACTGCTAGTGGCATTAAAGAAAAATATTCGTGAAAAACATTCATCGGATTCCAATACTCCATGATTCCCATTTCATGGAGAACCCGGATTTCCTACACTCTCTTTGTTCAAGCCATGCCACACTCTACACCTTCCCCATCTCACATGGATTAAGTTAAATGGAAGGTTCATGGCATTATGTTTTCAAATTCAATTTTTGAGACCTAAAAAAAAGAAAAAGGCAGGAAAAAAAAAGGAAACTTGATTGTCCAACCAACAGATGGAAGAGGCTAAACAAAAAAAGGGAAACTCAACCGAAGGCTTGCTTGCCAAACCCTAGATGCCGTTAATAATCAATTTGTAGAAAATAGTTTTGCAAGAAGCTCAGCTCAGGAGTAGGGGCGGAAATTGTTTTGCAAAAAACAGTGTTTCTTCTTCACTATTTCGTTTTCTTCTTCTTTGGGTGCCATTAATAAGAGATTTGCAAAGACAAATTATATTTTCTTTTTTAACCTTTCAATCAAAGGCTACAAGATAGAGATGCAAATAGATTGGACCAGATTTGAATCAACCCGATTCGAATCTGATCCAACACTGTTCATGTCAGATCTGATTTGATCCAAAGATCCGATCGGATCTAATAGGACTCGATTTAAATTTGAATCCTATCAGTAAGTTGAATCTTTGGATCTGATCCGATCCGACCTATTTTCTTTAAAAATTAATAAATTATTAAAAAAAATAAAATATACTAATTTAAATAAAGTAAAAATAAAAATACAAATATTTTTAATTATTTTCATCACATATATACATATTTTTTATAAGAAAGATAAACAATATAATAAATTTATAAAAATATAATATAAAAAATATATTTATAAATAAATAAATAACATATATATATATTATATATTTATATTTATAATATATAATATATATCGGATCGGATCTTCTCGGATCAGATAGAGGGTGATATGAATTTGACCAAATAGGATCAAATCATCCGATCCATTTGCACCCCTACTACAATACATGTGTTGTTTGCACAATACATAGTGACGAATCACAAGTAATTCTTCAGTATAGATGGGAGAGGCTAAACATAAAAATGGGAAACTCAACCCAAGGCTTGCTTGCCAAACCCTAGATGAGTAGCTCCATTAACAACCAATTTGCAGGAATACTCAACCCAAGAACGAGCGGAATTCATATTGCACGAAATAGTATTTCATCTTCAATGTTTAGCCTCCCCCATCTATCGACTTGGATAGTCAAGTTTCCTTTCTTCCATCTTTTTCTTTTTTTTTTTGGGTTTCAAAAGTTGAATTTGAAAAATATTACATCCAAACCTTCTGTTTAACTTAACCCAACATGTGAGATGGGGAGACATGTGGAGTGTGATGACATTTAGGAGTGCAAATGGGTTGGATCATGATCCAATCCGATCCAAGATCCAATCCTATTTGGTCGAATTTGGATCACCCATGGTCAAATCTTCAGATCATCCCCCTATTCGATTCGATATGTGTTATATATTTATAAATATAAATATATATATATATATATACATATATATATAATACATATATGTGTTACTTATTTATTTATTTATAAATATATTATTTATATTGTATTTTTATAAATTTGTTCTATTATTTATTTTTTATAAAAACATGTATATATAATGAAAATAATTAAAATACTTATATTTTTTGTTTTTTCTTTATTTAAATTGGTATATTTTTTTTTCTTTTAATAATTTATTAATTTTAAAGAAAATAAGTCAGATCAAATCAGATCCGATAGGATTCAAATTCAGATCGAATCCTGTTAGATTCGATCGAACCAGATCCAACATGAATAATGTCAGATAAGATTCAAATATACCCTGATTTTAATATGATTCAATCCATTTGCATCCTTAACGTTAAATTTCATTGGAAGTGTACCACGTCCCATTCGAATCAGATCCAACATGAATAATATCAGATAAGATTCAAATATACCCTGATTTAAATCTGAATCGATCCATTTGCATCGCTAACGTTGAATTTCATAAGTGTACCACGTCCCATTCCCAAAAGAGTGAAAAAAATCCGGGTAGAAGAACATCCCTATATAACAAAGATTATCACTTTAGATTTGCTAGTTTCCTAGGTAATTAATGATAAACTACACATGATAATCACACGTCCTCACAACACTTTATAGCCATGCATCGGAAACATCTCGATTCTTGCATGCTGTCTTTCATGGGAATATGTTCCCAATGCACGGCTGGAAAGGTTGTTGTGGCGATGTGAGGACCAAATTTTTGAGAATGAAATCCAGATTCCAGATTCGTAAACTACATCTCGACCACTACTACATTGCATGGACAATGATGCACGAATCAGAATCCAACGCATGTCCAGACGTGTGACTTGATTGGTTAAACAAAGAACAAAGAATCATGGACAATCTTCTAGAAAAAAAAAATTATAATTGTTACTAAAGCTCAGTTTGAAAATAGTATAAATATATGGGTTCAACTATGATATGGAAAAAATATGATATCTGAAAAACTTCTGGCCAGTAGTCAACTGAAAGATCTGGAATCATAAACGTGATAGCCAATTAAGTGTTATTTATCAAAATTCATGGGTGGATTTTGATCGATCAAAACTCTTCCTATACCATATCTTTTCTGCATCATAGATTTTCCCTACATGTACTATGTAAATACATATAATACAAGGTTTTGCACTATATATTTGTAAACAGTATACAAAATAATACCAAAAAAAAAAAAACACAAGGTTTTGCAGTCTACATATTTGTAATTATACTCCTCCAAACTGAGTCTAAGGCTGTATTTTGTTGCAGTGCAAATTTATTTGCACTAGTACAAATGCATGAGTGCAAATGTAAAAAATGCAAATTCTTGTTTAATTTTGTTTTGGATTTTTTCTTTATTCTGTTTCATGTGTTAATTTACTTCATTTTGTACTGCAATCAAACAAAATAAGCTAAAATTTAAAACAAAAATATATCAGAATTTACACTCATATCATTTGCACTGCCATGATTTTGCATCAATACAAATTTATTTGCTTTGCAACCAAACACAGCCTAAATAACATTCATTGTATACATTGGCCATTCATTTGTGTTAAATAAGGAGAAGAGAAAATTGCCACATAAAATTGTCCTTCAAGTATTCATGGTATGTTAGAATCTGATGCTTGTTTGATCAGAACACTATCCATGTAAGAAAGCCCATGCACATACATGTACTGAATCTACTGACAGAGAATATGGAAGACTGCCTCTTCCTCCACCTTCACTAGTTGAGATACTGTAACACTTGGATGATCGGGATTGATAATCATGTATGATAAGCAAGAAAATTCAAGACAAGTAATTACAATTATCATATAACTCTCAAATCCGAGCTGTCAAAGGAATACAACAATACAATTTAAGATTTATGAATAGTGTCAAATCATGGGTAATTGTCATAAACATTAAGGTAAAAATGGAGAGAGAGAGAGAATCTAACGGATGAACAAGAATGAGAAAAGCTTTACTAGATTATCTCATTTACATACAGATATTCATGGACTTAAAGAATAATCACTTATCACTTCTCAGAGGCAGACTGAAAGATGAAAACTGCTGTCAGAACTCCCACCAATGCTGTAACTGCCAAAGCCACAGTAGGTAAGGGGGTTGTAAGCCCAAAATTCTGCAATGCCAAGTGAAAGAATGTCATTGACAACGCTGATAAAAAAAAAAAAAGAAAGTCATCGACAACACCTTTCTTGGAGGAGTCGTGATCTCCTATACTTTTTTCCTACAGGTACCCTGTTACATGTGTACTCCCGTATGTATGGGACACTGGTCACAAACCGAATGGAAGTGCAGGAAAGAAGTATAGGAGATCCAAAACTCTTGGAAAGTAATTATACTGTTCATGCCCTCTTATTTCTTGTGTTATTTAGACAGTTAAATAGATAATAGACGTACTAAATGTTAAATTACCTAAATAGCTTACCAAAATAATAAAGTTATTTGTATTAGGCAACTATATATTTAAGTTTCACATCATCATCCAACCCTTATCCCAACTATATAGGGTAGGCTACATGAATCCCTACTTCGCCATTCCATCTGTTTAATGTCATATCCATTGTTAATTATTACCCATGTCCTTTTTAGTCTACCACTAGCCTTTAAGTGGGATTTCTTCCCCCTTACTAAGTTCTCGTGTAGATTCTTATCAACTGGTATCACAGTGGGTGAATGGGTGACAATACATTTGGAAGGGAAATGTTAATTATAGCACAAAGATAGCTCCTTCATCTAAAGAGTTGCATTCCCTTTGGCAAGAGATGGTTTGTCAGATCTCTAGACTCCAAAAATAATTCCAAGAAAATCTTTAAGCCGCATTTCAGGTATTTGCAGCACAACATGCTAAGATGTATGAAGATCACTTCAGCAAACATCTAGGGATCACATCTTGCCCAGAGTTCTTCGGAACATGGAAAAGGCTCACTGTAAATGTGGAAAAAGATGAAGAATAACCCAATCTAACGTTCATTGGGTTAACTTTAACAATTCGTGACAAGGTTTTGGGGCCCCAACAAGTCAACAATCTCAAAGAATTTTCCCTGGAGAAGATAGAGCTTGAGCAGTGGATTTCACGAGCTAAGCATTACTTTCTGCTTCATCGTACAGTTGATGATTTGAAGCCAAAATTGCACTAAACCACCTTGATTGAGATGCGATCTAATTGTCTGATGGTATGAGTCCATCTATGGAACTACTTCTTGCTTCTTGGAAATGTTTCATGAAAGGTCTAGTAGTTTGTTTCGGCCCTTCAGAGTATGAATACATCCACTGAAGTGATGAGAGCGTGCTCACCACAGGAGTCTTCTTCGAGGGAGACTCTGCCTCCTGAAACCAGAAAAGAGAGAGAGAGAGAGAGAGAGAGATTCTGAAAATGGCTTCCTCCTTTCTCATTATTTCATGGGCTATTTATAGATGCCGATTACCCCCTTTTCAGCCACAATAAGCCATCTTGCGAGGTCCCCGGGTATACACTTGTTTAATGGGCCTAAATGGGCCTAAATGGGCCATTCACAGTTCTGTTATTATCAACAGCTCCATCAACTCTTTCCCCCTTTATAACAACCTTGTCCTCAAGGTTAATGCTGGGGTAGTGTTGTTGCAGCTGATAGTAGTCTTCCCAGGTGGCGTCTTCAGGTGGGAGGTGTTTCCAGACCACGAAGGCTTGTTGAACTGACTTATTGCCATCTCGGATCCACCTGAAATCAGCAATATGATCCAGCTCTGGCTGTAGAGCCCCCTCCTTAGAAAATTCTGGTAAGCAAGCTGAAACCGAAGGGACTGGTCCTAAATGTTTCTTCAATAGAGATACATGAAATGTGGGGTGTATCTTGGAGGATCTAGGGAGGTCTAACTTATAAGCCACCTTACCCACCCTTGCTATAACATGGAATGGACCATAAAATCTGGGAGCCAACTTTTGGAGGACCGTTTAGCCAAGCTACTTTTGGAGCCGTCTCCTACCTCAAACTGAACATCTCAATGTTTCCTATCATAGTGGGCCTTCATTTGTTGTTGAGCCTTTATCAAGTTGGCCTTTAAGTCCTTAAGGACTGCATCTCTGTCCGTTAGATGTGTATCTACTTCAGCCACAGCAGTGGATCCCGTATAGAGCATGAAAAGGTAACATTCTAATTGAAACATGAAAAGAAGTGTTATACCAGTATTCTGCCCACGGAAGCCTGTTATGGGCCCGTGAATAGGATCTCGTCACAGGTCGGTTAACGGGGAAAACCTCTTGTTTTCCCTTATTTCTCCCTTTCCACGAGGTACCTATCTTTGGCGCCTTAATGGTGATTTGTTAAAGAGATCACCAACTCTCCTCTGCTCTTTCTTGACTGAAAATTTCGATGATTTCATTGAATAACATCTGCTCCTTTAAATAGGAGATTACAAGAAGTTAAGAGTCCTTCTTTAGGAAGACATCCTAACAACATTTATCTCTAAATGATAATGCTACTGCCTAATTAATAGGAGCACTGAATTTAGCCTAGAGATAAGATAGGAACACTGAATCTAGCTAAGAGAAAAGATAGGAACACTGAATCTAGCTAAGAGATAAGATAACACTGAATCTAGCTAAGAGATAAGATAGGAACACTGAATCTAGCTAAGAG